TGCACCTGTTAGGGCAACTGCATTCCACAGTCTGGAGACCAGCAAACCCCTGTCCTGGAGGCCATGCCTCCCACTGAGCGTGTGCAGCCTGTGCTTTTGTCCAGTAGCCCTGGCAGGGCCTTGTGAAGCCCGGCGGTCCGGCTGCAGGGCTGGGGAGAAGTGAGGCCCACCGTCGGCCGGAAGAAGAGCAGAACTTCATCATGATGTCCATTCTCATGGTGGCCCTGTGGTCATCATAACACACCTTTAGAGTTTTGTAAAATTGATTCCCGTACCATCTCTCCCCTCTCACCAAGTACACAGGACTTGTGTATGCTTTTTGCGGGGATCTCTCCTGCAGAAGCCAGAATTGCCCCATTCTGGGCCCATCAGTTTGCTGTCACCATACCTTAGTAGCTTTTGTCATTCTACCCCTAAAATATTTTTGTAACGTAGTTACAGTGTGCGCAGTAAAAAATAAAAAATAAAATAAATTAAAAAAAGTTTTTAAAATTTGGAATCACCAAATTTAGCCTAATTTTTGTTGCCTACTACTGAGCTAACATGGAATAAATGTTCTACCCTCTCTGACTTAGATGCCTATCCTATAACATGGTATTGATTACCATGCTGACTACTTCTCAGACTGTAAGTTGAATGAAAATGAGATAAAGAACATGAAAACCATGTTGTAAAGGTAAAGTTTCTATATAAAAAGGTGCTATTAAACTGCTATTGAAAAGCGCCCCCACACTATGACCCATCAACACGGATTTTCCTGAGAATGGGGTCATAGAACAAAGGTATTCATGGAAATACTTCAAATATTGTAGAATCCCATTCAATATATTCCACTTCAAGAATAATCCTGAGTAATTATTGTTTATATAGTGCATTGTAATGTGCTTTATAGTGTACATTATCTCTTTGATACTCACAATTATTCTGTGAGGTGGGCATTATTATTGCCATTCTGCGAATGTGGAAACAGCCAGAGAGCAATAAAATGGCTTGCTCAAGTCACAGAGCCAGGAAGTGGTAGGACTGCAGCTTAGCCTGAGCCTCCCAAACCTTCCTAGGCTCTTTCAACTATGCCATGCTCGTCTTCAAAGTCGTCAGCAGTCTGTCACTTTATAGCAAGAACTTTCCAGAACACATAGGGCTAATTGACTCACGCTGTATGAAGTAAGAGGCTACTTTCTTAAATTGAGTCGTATGCTTTTATTTCTGGAAACGTTTTGATCCTCCACACCCTGCAGTTGCCAAGATGAGAGGGATTCTTGTTTCAACTTTAACTATACAGTGTACTTGTGCATAAATAAAGAGAGCTTTCAATAGCCAACATCTTAGGGACTATCGAAAGGAAGCTAAGGGCTTGCTTTCTCTGCCAGGATCATCATACATTATTAAAGTGTAGAACACCCATTTTGAGCAACAGTTTTATAAGAAAATATCAGCACCCCAAATTCTATCTTTCCTTCAGCAACTTTTTATGGGTAAACAGTTACCAGGTGTATTTAAATTTTCTAATCACACAAGATGGGGTCTATGATACCCATTATTTGGGGGATCATGTAGAGTTGGTTAGGTCTGAACCCAGGATTTAGTGCCTATAGATTGCTGATCCTGTCTTGAGTTCATACAACAATCAATACAAGGACTGAATAATGCTAACATTTAGATCTATCTTGGATTGTGAGGGTTTCTGTTTGTGATTTTAAAACAATGCCTTGGCAGGAGAGCAAAACACCACTCTCCTTCTCCCTTGGGCTAAAGAATTTTCAGTAGATGGTGTTTCTGGTCTGACTTCCTACTCTCAGCTTTCATGCCCCTAGATTACAACTCACCCTCACAAGTGGAGCCGTGCTGACTTGATGGCTGGGAAAGTAGGCGGCTACAGCACAGGCCTGTTTATGACTGCCTCTTCAGCTCAGCAAGGAGCAAAAGCAGTGGAGGCGCAAGTTGCACTTGTGACTCAGAGCAAGGGGGGACTTGAGAACACAAAACACAGCCAAAGCAAGGAAACCGAAGATCCCCTTCTTCATCCATCAAGCACTATGTCTCGCCCTGCACCCAGAAAACCAGAATACCACAAAATAGTAAGATCTTTTTATAAACATGTTCTCAAAGATATTTTATTCTAGTTCAGAGAATAAATGTTTTAAGTGACTTCTGATTTGTTTTGAAGGCGAAGCTATCAGTAGAGTTTTTCAGTGGAGTAAGGGAGTGTTTAGTGGAGGGAATCATAAATGACACCTCTGGGAATAGTTACAACAATCTCTTACATACCGTATCAGAATGATAGATTCTTATATAGTCCAGGGTCTTCTTTCAGTGAGATCTACAAAAGTGTCAAATGTTTCTTGTCTCTGACAGAAAATGTAAAAAGATTAAGCAAAAAAAAAAAAAAAAAAAATTATTTTGTATTTCATACTTGTCATTTGCTGTATTTTGTACTTCAGGAGATAGAAAATGAAATGCATAGAAAACAGTTATTATATATTAAATTAAATAGAACTAGAGGATCAAAACACTCAGGATTAAAAGATTGCTTTTAAACATGGATTTCCTAGTTAGACGCAGGGGATTATCGTTGTAATTTGGTATGTATTATTATCTTGTCTACATATTCCTAGTTGAGACTTATTTTTAAAACTCAGTTATTTGCAGATTAGATTTAGATATTTTTCTTTAATCCTCTCTTATAGTTTTAGGCATTCACAAGTTATATATGTGAAAGCTCATCATTAAGTTTAAAGCTTTGTTATTTCTCTCAAGAGACTGATGGGCATTGCTTAAAATTAAGTAATTTCATCCATGGGTACTTAAAATTGTGTGACTAACCCAGGAACAGCCCAGTTTGAAATGTCTACAGATGCCCCCTCTGTCATTCCAGGATCTTGATTTATTTTTATTGGGGCTCTCAATTGCTAAAAAATATTGTACATCATCATATTGTACTTGCATCATTTGATAAAAATTCATATTTATCCTGATATCTCCAAGACCTCCTGAAATAGTTAATGGTATTATATTTTTCAAATATGAAAAACGATTATTTTTAAAATTGATGAAGTTATATTGACATTCTTTGTGATAAATTGTATGGATTTGAGACTCAACTGGATATGTAGTTCAAGATTCAGCCTTTGCCCATGAAGCAGAATGGAGAAAACTGGCCTTTATTGAACTTAAAACACAGCTGGAAGTAAAATATAGTTTTTACTCACTTACCATGATGAGAGATTGGCAGAGAGAAAAGAAAAAGAAAATGTCATTATTTCAGTTTGGCCTTTATAAATGGACACACTGCTGAGGATATAGTATGTATTTTTATTTTTGCTAGTGATAATAACTATGTCTTCACACTCCCTTCCCTTTCCCCTTCCCCTTTGCATATTTTTATGATTTAATATTGGCACATAGCAGTAATTTACTTTCTGCTGTGGTTTCTTATATACTAATCAGAAATGTATTAATATAAGCATTTCTTGTGACATATGATTAGGTTCTTGAAAATTTTAAATAAGAACAAAATTCAGAATGAGTACATGATGACCCTTCCATAACTTGTTTAACAATATTTTTGTTCAAATCTCTTGCTTTACATCTTTTCTTTCCTGGTAGAAATATTAATGTATTTATTATTTTCTTATACCCAAATTATATATATTAGTGTCCTTAATGTATATAATATATTTCTACATATATTTATGATATTTTTATTTATATTTCCAACATAAACTATGTCCATATGTGCTGTATAATATTTAGATTCTATCCACTTAAAGTTATTTAGTGATAATAAATGTTCTACTTGACTAAAAACATTGTCATGATATAAACCAGTACGTAAGGTAGTAGACACTGATGGTATTGGGCCAATTTTGGAAGTATTTGGATCAAAATTATGTAATATTTTATAGAATCCCCTTTGTTGAATAAACAATTTTACTGGTTTGTTGAGACATTCCTGTCCATGATTAAAAGAAGAAATTAAATACGTATTACCAGGCCAGATTTTCCCCTGCAGGTTAGGCTCTCTATCCCAGACACCTGGCCTAGAGGCAAGGACATCTCTTCTAGCCTGGAATTCACATCTGACCTTTCATGAAAATAGATAATTATGCACAAGATAAGATTATTTTCAACAGCAATCCCTAGCACCTCTACCTCCCACCCACCTCTACTCCAAACATGCCTTCTTTGCTGCACTTCAGCGGTAGTTGCTATGTGGAGGGGGGACCTGCAGTCTCAGGCTTCATCCTGGCTCTGCCAGTTGCTGGCTAGTTGGGCAAATCATTCATTCCTCTGTAGGACTGAGAGCATTGGGATAAATTATCTCTAATACCCCCTTTCCATTCTTAGATCGTATTCATGGTAGACCCAACACAGAGACTTTCTAAATTGGATTGATGGTGCTTTATGTTGTTTCCCACATTTTCAACCTATCTATGTGAAACCAAACCTAAGTTATCTGCAGTTTCAGTTTTAATTTCACTCTGAATATAAGGCCTATTTTGGAAGTCTATAAGGAAAGTACAAGTTCTCTTTTTCCTTCTTCTTCTAAATATAAAGAACAAAGCCATAAATTTCCTGCTTCAGTTGGATTCATCCTGATAGTCTTCCTGGCAGGCCTGGAACCCATTAGGGAGTCTGCAGACTCAGGAGAAGTCTCACCCAGTTATTCCTCCAACCGGAAACATGGACAACACCTACTAAAGGCCATTCGAAAACGACAAGAATTTATACTAGCAATTAGTACTTCTTCAGAAACTTTCTCCATGAAAAGAATATTGCAAGTTATACAATACAAACAAATGCAGAGAAAGATTTCTTATGTTAAGAAATCAATTTTATTTCATAGCTCCCCCACTCCCTGCCGCCCTGAGCAATGTATGCCAATATGGGTAGAACAAAGGGGTGGAAAAGTGAACAGATTATCTGGAAGTCCAACTAAAGGCTAGAGCAATATGTTATCTATAACTGCCTATAACGTGAAACTACCCATTTTTCTCCAGAACAAAGATCTCTTTGTCCTAACCTATGGAGCTCTGGTTGCCCAACTGTGCAAGGATTATGAAAAAGATGAAGATGTGAATGCATATTTAGATAAAATGTAAGTAGATGCCTTTCATTCTTGTGGAATGTGCATTGTTTCTTAGCATCCTCTGCATGTTCGTCACCCTGCCTTCTCTTGCTCCATTCCACTGGCTCATCTTCTATGTCAGTAAATAACATCTTAAGGCTAGACATCATTTCTACCAGCTGCCATTTGGGTTGTCATAAAGTATAAGTAATGGGAAGGGACTTTTGTCCCCATGTAGATCAGGCATGGAATTGTTTTCTTTTTTAGTTGGAAATAATTTCTTTGCTAGCCATTTATAAGCAAAGGAAGTGGTAAACACTTTTTTCTTTTAACATGATGGATCATCAAATTTGATTTTTTTTCAGAAAGCTTTTGTTCTAACATAACTCCTACTATATATACGTGCTTACATAAGTATAGACCACCTGTGGAAGGATATGCAAAAAGCTACTATTGGACCCTTGCAGATGGCTCCATTGGTTGGAGCATTGTGGGGTACACCACAACGGTACAAGTTTGATCCTCAGTTGGGTCGCATGTTTCTCTCTCTCTTTCTCTTTCTCTTTTTTTCTCTCCTCTTTCTCCCCTCCCCTTTCCCTTCCACTCTGAAAAATCAATGGGGAAAATATCCTCAGGTGAGAATTAAAAAACAAAAAATACATATACATGCCCATAATAAAACCCTAATATGCAAATTGACCAAACAGCAGAACAACCTTTTGCTATGATGTGCACAGACCAATAGGGGGCAGATGCTCAATGCAGGAGCTGTCCTCTGGTGGTCAGTGCACTCCCACAGGAGGAGCACTGCTTAGCCAAAAGCTGGGCTCATGGCTGGTGAGCACAGCAGTGGTGGCAGGAGCCTCTCCCGCCTCCACAGCAGTACTACGGACTCCTCGGGATGTCTGCCTAAACTGGGGTCTCCCAAGGGGCCTGGACTGCAAGAGGGTTCGGGCCAGCCTAAGGGACCCCACTACCAGTGCATGAATGTGGTGCACTGAGCCTTTAGTATATATATTAGTGGAGCCCACTTCTTCCATTTTAAATAAAGCTCATTATTCTTGTCTTTATTAGTGGAGATTCTTTTTGCACAAATTCAGCCTTTAAATTTCTCAGAATAATCATGTGAACATTATGTTACTGCTCAATAATAAAATATCTGCCTGCCATAGCAGGGTAACTCAGTTGGAGTGTTGTCCTCATAGGCCAAGGTTTCAGGGCACATGCAAGAAACAACAAATGAATGCATAGATAAGTGAAATACCTTGTTTCCCTGAAAATAAGACAGTGTCTTATATTAATTTTTTCTCCCAAAGTTGTGCTAGGTCTTATTTTCAGGGGATGTCTTATTTTCAGGGAAACACGGTAGCAAATCAGTGTTTCTCTCTCTCCCTTCTTTTCTCTTTCTGAAGTTAGTAAATAAAAATAATAAAGTATCTATCAACATTTTTAAGCTTCTTAATTATAGATTCTGAAAAGGGCTCTAACAGGACAATGACAGGAAAATCTGTAGAAGATTTAATTAGACAGGTTGAATGGGAAATTTAGCTAGTTGAGTTGAACATTTTAGAGCTTTTAAAAAGGGTTCACTGTATTTTCAGTTGGAATACAGGGGGAGGGGAAACCCATAAAATAAATATTAAAGATTTTTTTCTCTCTGAAAACCTTGGTTTTTCTCCCTTTTTTATGTGCTTATTATTTTTTCCTATTAGGAAGTTCCTTTTCATTGTCCTTTATTTATTTTGATCCATGCACTTCTTTTTTCCTTTTCTTCTTCATTAATTAGGAGCACTGCCTCAGCTAAACTGTCAGTAAGAGTGGGAGCCGCGTAAGCTATTTTACATCCGAGTCCCACTGAAACAGGCCGTATAGCGTGCCCAGAAGTTATACCATTTTATTTAGCTTATGTTAGATTTGCATTGTTGTGGGCAACTTAGGTAGAAAATACAGAAACTCACTTATTTGACTAAAAAAAAAAAAAAAAATCTCTGGTTAGCTACTACTTGAGTGCACTTTTTTAACAAATATGAATGAAATATTAGTTAAAGAATATGTTTTGAGAGGCTGCCAAAAGGACTTGCTTTAAGAAAAACAGAAATTCACATTTGGACATCTTTAATAGCTTCTGCGTCTTACATTTTTAATTTGATATATAAGTAAACAAAACATCTACTTTGCAGAAGCATACCCTTTGACCAAAGCACTATATATATATATATATATATAAATGGCACTGACCATCACGTTATTGCTTCCCATCACTATTCCCAGTGGTCACGCCTGTGTGTATGCATAAAAATTAGAAGCACTGAAAACATTTTTTAAATCTTGGTACAACTATTTCCATAAAGTATACATTCTGTTTTTAAAAAGTCTACTCTGTGAGAACTTCCTCACTAGAACCACAAAACATTTTTCTTGAAAGGCAAGTAAGCTAAATTTAATATTGCCATCCACTCGGAAAAATTAATAGAATGTCGCGAGATTTGGTGAATTCATGAGCACTCTCACATCAAATCTGCCTCTACCTTTCTTAGACCCTCTGGAGCAATTATTGCCTCTACAAACTTCGGTGTCTTTATCCTGCTGGGTGTTCTGTGGCTCCATTCAAATAGTTTCTGTGCTGGTTTATGCACACATCGCTGTGAAATGAAAAGCCCAGTTTTGCGTCAGTGGTTTGGCAAAGGAAGTCTTGTTCTTCTTTATTTCCACCAGGAAGGTCATATTTCCTCAACTACATTGGAAGTTCCTGGGCTGATCTCGCGGAAGGTGTCTGCTAGCCATCGTAGCCACACACTCAGATCACATCTCAATAAAATGCTTTCACAATTGTACTGCAAGTACTGCTCACGCTGTTTGTGGTGAGGTAGAGCTAAGACAAATACTTTCTCCCAAGTCCCACAGGTCCACTTTCCCTGAAATGAAAAATAAATTTTCTGAATGTGGCTCTTGTTTCTCTTCATGAAAACTCAGTTCTGTTGACATCTACACTAAGCAACAGAAATTGATTTCTCTGTCTCCTTCATCCTCTCCTTCTACAGCCCACCCCGGGCATGCCTGCCATCCTACCAGAATAACTCCGCTAAGAGGAGAGTGAGCATCTGGGTACCATGCCTGCAGCAGACAAGTTAGCTGGCCCTCATTCTCAATAGCTAATGAGGAGAAATTTAGTTGCTAATGAGAAACATTAGGCCGCAAACACCAACCAACCTTATTTACTTACCTTTAGTGGGCAAAGCCAAGTTTGGGCCATCCCTGACTCCTCCAATTCCTTTGCTGGTAGATTAGTTAATAGTCCCTGGATGTGTTGCTCCTTTCTTTCTTCCCTCCTTCCTTCCTTCCTTCCTTCCTTCCTTCCTTCCTTCCTTCCTTCCTTCCTTCCTTCCTTCCTTCCTTCCTTCCTTCTTTCCTTCCTTCCTTCCTTCCTCTCTCTCTCCCTCTCCCTCTTTCTCTTTTATTCTTTCTTCCTTTCTTCAGAGAGAGGAGAGAGGAGAGAGAGACACACAGAAAGAGGAAGGGAGGGAGAGAAAGACAGAATAGATTTGTTGTTCCACTTATTTATGCATTCATTGGTTGATTCTTGTATGTGCCCTGACTGGAGATGGAACTTGCAACCTAGGTATATCAGGACAATTCTCTACCCAACTGAGCTACCTGGCCAGGGCCTTGTTGCCGTCTCTTTCTGTGGCCTGTGGGACCAATGAGAAGCCCACTGTTAAATAGCCATTTGCCTTGTCACGTTAGGTTTAGTTTGTAATCCAGTTGGCAAGAACTCACTAGATGAATCCATTCTTAAACACTGACAAACTTAGCACTAAGTACTCAAATATTATTTCCAGACCACAGTCTTTCCTTCATCCACAGGGGATACGGCATTGGAACGCGGCTGGTGGAAGACTTTCTGGCTCGATCTTGTGTGGGACGATGCCACAGTTATTCAGAAATTACCGACATAATTGCCCAGGTAAGAGCATTTTAAGCTCTGTCAATATGTTTTGAAGCCCTTTGATGCGTCCTGAGTGTGGTGGTTTTCTGCTCTGATTGAAGAGGTTCCATCTGTATCCATTATTAGGTGCGAAGAGAGAGGATTCCGATCAAAAAGCATTTTATTTCAGCACTAAGATAAAGCTATTGTGAACACAGATAAATGCTTCCAGGCATTTAAGCATCTATCGATTTTTCTGGCCAAATGGTATGTGTCCCACACTGGGGAAAATGTTTTGAGAAGGTAAACAGAAGGGGAGTGTAATAAGGCAGCCTCATAGTACACAGGCCCAGAACCAGTTTCTTTATGGAATCATTTTCAGCAGTGGAAGGAGGTACTTTTGCCTGTGTCAGAGAACACTGTAAGCCATTTCATTCCAGGACACATGTTTTCCCAAGAGGAAAAGAAAGCTTCCTATAAATGTATGTGCTCTGAGAACTTTCACAGCCCTGAGAGGCAGCTTGGAATCATCTGGGACCAGATCACGTTTCCAATATAAGATGAGAGTGGGAAATTCATCCTTAGCCAGAATTCCTTGCCTTGTTCATTTGTGAGATCTAGAAAGTATGCATGGGTAAGAGATATTTATGCGGTCCTGCCTAAATATGAATAAATGAGTCCTGCCTAGATATGAATGCTGCCTCCACATTTTCACAACTTTTCTGAAATCATTTATTAGTTTTAGTAGTTTCTGTGTGTGTGTGTGTGTGTGTGTGTGTGTGTGTGTAGTCGTTAGGATTTTCTAAATATAAGACCAGCGTTTTTCAACCGCTGTTCCGCGGCACACTAGTGTGCCGCGAGATGTTGCCTGGTGTGCCGTAGGTGCAGACAAGACAAGAATTTTATAATTTTTCACTATTTTGTTTACTTAATATTTCATAATAAAGTAATTATAAAATACTTTCTTTGTGTTTATTTGATTCCTATTCAAGAGAATTACTTTATATATAGTCAATATAGGCACAGAGTTAAATTTTTTAACATTTTCTAATGGTGGTGTGCCTCGTGATTTTTTTCATGAAACAAGTGTGCCTTTGCCCAAAAAAGATTGAAAAACACTGTATAAGACCATAACATCTGCAAAAAGATAATTTTTCATATTTCTTTCCAATGTGGATGCCTTTTATTTCTTTTGTCTTACCTACTTGATTTGCTTAGGACTCCCAATACTGTGTGAAGTAGGAGTGAAGTTCGCAATTTTTCACCATTGGATATAGCAAGGGGGAAAGGATGATCTCTTTTACAAATGGTTCTGGGAAAACTGGATGTCCACACACAAAAGAATGGAGTTGGACCCCCATTCCAGAGTTTATGCAAAAATCAACTCAAAATGGGTTCAAAACTTCCACTCTTATTGCAAGCTTCCTTATCAATGAAAGCTTATTCTGCCATCCTTACTCTTCTCTTGTGCAGAGGCGTTGGCTCCTGGTCTTCGCACTTTCCTTCAAAGGCCTGGTTTCCTCCCCCTTAATAATTCTCACTTCTCTAGCAAAATATTCTTTCACATGTGGGAATGATGTCACCCGATTCAGGAGCATTTGAACACAGATGAAGGGTCAGGTTTTAGTTAGGTCTTCACCACCGATGCTTTGCTAATAATTAGCTTTCATCCAAAGGGCTGGCCTTTGGCCGCATTGTCTCATCCATCCTTTAGTCTCTGCTCAGAGGCGGCGGAGGTCAGATGGTAGAATCAGTTTTATGAGAAGTGGGCAAGATCAGAGGAGGCTCAGTGCTGCCTGTGGAGCATAGCAGGGACAGCAGGAGAACCTGACGGTTGTGACTTGTTTGGCCGCCCTCCCAGACCATGAACACTAGCATTATCCTTGTTGAGTACTTCGCATTGCATATCGTGACCTCCACAGAACTCGCGATCTCTGTCCTGGGTCCAGAGAAGGAGAGGGAAGCAGAGAAAGGAGAAACCCGTGTCCCGATGAGTGAAGTGAGTCACCTAAGAGCTAGTTAGTGAAAGACTGCCTGTAGGAACAGGTCTCCTGGTCTCATGCTCTGCTCTACACTCCTCTGCCTCTGGAGCAGACAATCATGTAACTTCATATATTACTAACACCGCCTCTCTCGTTTTCCTCACTTTGCCTTTTCCAAAGGGAAAGTAACTATCCCGAAGCTTCTGACAATTTTTTTTTTTTTTGGACAGGCTTTAGACCTCAAATTGCACCATCTAGTGGTATAAAAACAAATCCCATGGCAAAGACTCTTCAGGCAGCCTTATATTTCATATAAAAAAGGGATGGCAAGCTAATTCTAAAGCCACCGTCCTGCAACATTAAAAGGAATTTATCTTAGTTTTTCAATTATAATTCACATTCAATACTATTTTCTTTTAGTTTCAGGGTATTATCCATTAAAGTTATCTTTCATTTCTGGGAAATTTCATTTCCCCATGATATCTATAAGTTTTTCAAAGGGGAGAATGATTCCAGGTATTCTTAGGGTTTGGCCCACTAGAATATTGTAGACATATGTTACATATTACTGAAGTGAATTTAGAAAACGTTTGAAGATCTTACCACACATCTGTACACTGTTACTTTTCCTACTCTTTCCAGAAGAGGGCAGTAGTCCACATTCATCTCCAAATTAAAGTCTCCTACTCTTCCCCTCCCACTTTAAGGCCCATCACTGTCAGTGCCCTTATTTCAACAGTATTTACTATCGGGTCTAGTAATAATTAATGTCGTTTTTAAACATTCTTTTAAAATCTTGCTTGGCGTTGACTTGTATTGACATAACCTTTAAACACGTGGTATCTACAGAACGTGTGAAGTGCAATTAACAAGTTTTGCTTGAAAAAGTTTGTGTTTGGTTTGGTTTTTGTTGCAAAACTAGGGCTAAGAAGATGGCGGATGAAGAGCATATTCGGCACTGCATGCTTTACGAGTTCCAATTAGGAAGAAAAGCAAGTGAGGCTGCAAAAAACATCTGTAGTGCTCTTGGTCAAGGTGCAGTTAGCGCCAGAAAATGCTAGCGTTGGTTTGAGAAATTTCGCGAGGGAAATTTTTCGTTAGATGACAAGAGTGGTCGAGGCCGTGTGTCCAACTTTGATCAAGAAGCTCTTCAAGCTCTTTTGGTGCAAAATCCTCAAATTACCCAACAAGAGCTTGTGACAACTTTAAATTGTTCACACAAAACAATTTCCAATCAATTGCGTGCACTTGGCAAAGTCCAAAAGTTTGGAAAATGGGTTCCTCATGAGTTGACCGACAACAACCGTAATCAAAGAGTCACAATTTGCAGTTCGCTCCTCTCTCGTCAAAACCGTTTGCCGTTTTTAGAGCAAATTGTTACCGGAGATGAAGAATGGGTGCTGCATGTTAATTTGAAAAGGCGGCCTCAATGGTTGGACAAAAATGAGGCTCCACAGCCCACGCCAAAACCTGACTTGCATGCGAAAAAAGTGATGTTGTGTGTTTGGTGGAATTTTAAAGGAATTCTTCATTATGAACTTTTACCATCTACCCAAACCATTACAAGTGCAGTGTATAGTGCCCAATTGGAAAGGTTAGCCCAAGCTTTAAGAGAAAAAGAACCCGCGCTGATTAATCGGAAGGGCGTAATTCTTCACCACGATAACGCACGACCGCATACTGCAAGAATCACTGCTGAAAAACTGCGCCAATTGGAATGGGAAGTTCTCCCTCAACCTGCATATTCTCCTGATATTGCCCCTTCCGATTACCATTTGTTTCGTTCTTTGCAAAACTTTCTTCTTGGAAAAAAAATTAATAATGAAGAATGCCTCAAAAATGCATTGACCGAATTTTTTGCATCAAAATCACAAGAATTTTACAACAGAGGGATTAAAATGCTTCCTGAGCATTGGGCACAAGTAGTAGAAAACAACGGCAACTATATTGTTGATTAAATTTTGTTGTATTGTTTAAATAAATTCGATTTTAAAAAGTATTAGAAAACGACATTAATTATTACTAGACCTAATACTACATTGAAAATCCAAACTTGTCTGGTTGCTCACAATAACAGATCCACAATAACAAGATTTGAACTGCAAAGGAATTCTGGACAGGAAATAGAGTGAATTCATCTTGGCAATTTTATTGAAACCCCCCCCCCCCCCCCCCCCCCACACACACACGCACTATATGATTGTAGAAAATTGCAGGAGAGATGGGAGAGTCATTCTTGCTACACTGAAGTCAACTGTGATTATAAAATACAAGCATTAAATAGGTAATCAAGTTATTAGATATTGCATTTCCCTTAACCTAATAGGCATACCAGTATAGCTCTTCCAGTTGATTATAAGGCTAAATAGAAAATGCAATTATACCTCTCTCTGATCTAAGATCTAAAAAAAATCTTCTCAGTTACACAAAAATATATTCGATGGTTTTCAAACACATGTATAGTAACAGTTTTATTTAGAAAAGCTAATTAGACATCAAAGTAATCATTTCCATTTATTATGGAAAATATTTTAAATGTAGCCTAAAATTCATCATGGAGCCGAATTGAGTTAGCTGGACTCCGTTAGGCTGGAGTTGTGTCAGGTCGCAAGGGTTTATTGTAAGGATATCCTGGGGCACAACAGCTAGGCTTCATGGGAGAACAGAAATTAGAAAATCCTTCAATGTTAGAAATTAGAAACCACAATGTTAGTAGAAAGTAAATATTTTATTTTATTTTTCAAAATCCTCACCTGGGAATATTTTTTTCCATTGATTTTTAGGGAGAGTGGAAGGGAGAGGGAAGACAGAGAGAAATATCAATGTGAGAGAAACACATCAATTGGCTGCCTCCTGCCTGAGGCCTGAGCAGGGTCTGGGCCAGGGAGGAGACTGCAACTGAGGTCTCCCTTGTCATCTCAGGAGCAGGCATTTGCACTTTCCTTCCTACTTCCCTCCTCTGCAGTTGTGGTGACTAAGCTATTCTCTGCTTACTTTGCTCTGGCAACTAATTACTAATATCTTTTTAAAATATTTTTTAATTATAGTTGACATATA